CGCAGTGTCATTTCCCCAGTACATCTCAGTGGGCAAATTCCGTGACTCAATAATGCTATCTTGGTTCTGTTAAATCAAGCCAGAATGATCTTTCTTTCAGTTCCTCTCCCCACATCCTACACACAAGCCAAATGTGCCCTCTCTCTCTCTCCATGCCCAACAGTTTTATTAATGATTAACCCAATTAACCTGCTCATCAGAGCAGTAGTACAATAGGCAGATTCCTGCAAAGATATGGAAAGGAAGTGTTAGGTAATAAGAAACTGGACCCCCAGAGTCTATGCAAGGCCACAGTTGCATAGCTGTCAACGTTTCCCTTTTTTAAAGGGAAATTCCCTTATTCCAAATAGGATTCCTCACAAGAAAAGGGGAAAGTCATGCTAAAACAAGAGGGGGGGGGGGCCTCTGTGCCTAAGACTCCATGCTCTCTAGAGACCATCCATTAAATATGTCACACTTCATGGGAAGAATAGAGGAGCTGCAAGAAAAGGATTTGGGATAGGTTGGCAAGGAGGCAAAGTACGACTTGGGTGTGTGTGCGAGCTAAAAGGAGTTTTAAAAGTCTGACGTGCTTTTTGAATAGTCCCCATTTCCAGAGATGTGATGGTTTGCTGGGATGAGTTAAGGACATTATACTCTGTACATGCTCAGGGATATCCCCCCCTTCTGTTCTGCACGCACAAAGAAAAAAAACTCAGGAGAGAAGGTAATCATCAATGAAGAGTTTCAGACTCTGGCATCTCCAGGTGGAGCCAGAAAAGGACCCTGTCTGAAACCCTGCAGAGAGCCACTGCCCATCAGTGTAGACCAGGGGTTGTCAACCTGGTCCCTACCACCCACTAGTGGGCGTTTCAGGATTCTAGGTGGGTGGTAAGGGGTTCTACAGCACAAGTTGAATCCTCCTTCCATCGAGCAATGGTGGGTGGTAAGGAAATTTTACCATCAAGAAAGATGCATTAGTGGGCGGTAGGTATAAAAAGGTTGACTACCCCTGGTGTAGACCATACTAGACTAGATGGACCAATGGCCTGTCTTGGTATGATCCTAGTCATTATACATGACATGCAAACTGGGCCATTATGGGGAAGATAGTTGAGATTCTTTAAACCATTGTTTGATGTAGAAGCTGGAATTTTAGTGCTAGAACTCTCATTGCCGTCCACAACACCAGCTTCACAAGCAAGTACACAAATTTTACTAATGCGTCTGCCCACAAATACATGTCAGTCATATGTGTCACTCTTGTTACCTTGAAAGGAAAGGGAAATCACCATCATTCTCTTCCATCTTACAGAAGCTTACCTGCTCAATTGCCTGGAGACTATTTCAACTCACCATAGGAGAGTGGCTTTTTCACAAAGCTACCCTCAGCTCATGTATCTCACTGCCTCATGCTGTGGCCCTGTGAATCAACTACAATACCTTTTATTTGGGCTCCCGTGTGGCTGGACCCATTTTGCCCTGGACCCTTTCAGAAAGCAACAAATCCAAATCCAAACTGAAAATTGTTACCAGTCGCACTGAGGAAATGGTGGGAAGAGTGTAATTTTTGTTCATTTAAAATGATAAATAAAAAAAACAAACCATTTACATGAACAATGTGCTTTTTTAAAAAAAAAAAAGTGGCGAGGTATGATGCAATTGCCAAAACATAATGCAGTCCGTTACCCTACTGGAGCCACAAATTGTATTATAAAACGGTAACAGAAACTAAGCAAGGGAGCCAGGTCACATCTTGAATGCAGACACCATTTTTCACATTCTGAAAGTAGCCACACTGAAGTCATTTGCTCACGCGCAACATCTGTTTTACTGGCATGCACTTAAAAAAAAAAACAGCGAACAGGAAAAAGTCAATCAAGTCCCCTTCTCCCTCCCCCCCTCCCCCCACCTTCCTCCCCTCCCCACCTCCTCAAGATGTATAAGAGTCCTTTCATATGGCCAGCATTTACTTTCACCAACATCTCCCTAAGTTATAGACATAATAAAAAGGATCTCTGTGTCTCTCTTTCGGTAAGGATCTCCTTATGTGAAGCTGCCTGGCAAGTCTGTGAAACAAAGTTTCTCAGACGTTACTGGTTTATCAAAAAGGAAAGAAACCCTGCCAAAAAAAAGTAGGGATGAGAGATCTAATTTCATCCCAACATCTCTCCAGGGTATTCTTCCTATTTTTAATGGCTAAGAAGATCCTCAAGCCTGAATCTTCAACCTTGAAAGGATATGTCCCTTAATATTTTTTTAGCCTCCATTTGTTTAAATCTTTCGCCCACAACCCCAATGCACACCTATAGGTGTATACAAACTGACACCTTCTCTTATCTGCTTCAGGCTTTTGCCACAGGATGTATGAGAAACCCTTAAGGTGCTACAGGCCTTACAGAGGTTTCTTGTGGCAAACGACTGCGTCCACCCCAGTTGACATTTCTCAACTCCCCACCTTAACAAAAAACAGAATTGTACAGTGGAGGGGCAGCAGCTGGATGTTTCAGCGTGTGGGAAACTGCTTGAGAAGGCATTAAGAGTCAAACAAATAAACTGAGTCGCCAACATCATTTCTGTGTCTATTCTTTAGGGAACCAGAGAGGGGGGGGGAGAGAGAGAGAGAGAGAGGGAGAGAAGACAGAGGGGATGTTAAGAAAATTAAAGTTTATACGAATGCCAAACTTCTAGTTGCCTCTATTGCTTTTCCACACAGCTCTGCTTCTGATCCCAGAGAATACTGCAACTCTTCGCCCAAGTGATTTTTTCCCCCTGGGGGTGCAGGGAGTTAGGAAAGGAAGGAGAAGGTTGGGTTAAGGCATCTCCATCCAGTACTCCCGTTACCATTGCTGCTGCCTGAACAGAGGATGCTTGAAAACCTCCCAAGAATACAGTCCTGAAAGACAGACATCCTACTATACGCAGCCTGTTTGAAATGCGATTAACAGGCCACCAGGATACAATATATACAACCCTATATACCTACCGCTTGTTTCCCTTTCCAATGTTGACTAAAAGACGAAGTTCTCTAAAAAGCACTAAATCGGAAACCACACACGGGTGTCGCGAGCCTGCATTCTTTATAGCACTTTAATTTTCTATTCTTGGGTCATGATCTGCAAGGAAAGTCACACCCCAATCTACTAATATAAATGCTAACAATGTATGCACTTATGGCTTGACTTTTAAAGTGCTCGAGGTGTTCTGCACACTTACAACAACCCTGAAAGGTAGATCACGACCACTGTCCCCTTACAGAAGATGAAACACTAGGAAGCTGCCTTAAACTGAGTCAAGGCACTGTTCCATCTAGCTCAGTGTTGTGTACACTGGTTGGCAGCAGCTCTGCAGGGTTTACAGCAGGGGTGTTCATCAGCACTACTTGGGATCAGCCAGGGGTTGAACCCGGGATCTTCAGCATGCAGATGCACTGAGCTATGGTCCTGCGCCCTTCTGCATGCCCTACAGATGCTCTCCCACGCGGCACGCCAAAAGGTTTGCCATGGCAAAGGTGAGATACCAATTCAGGGTTTGCAACTTCATAGAATCACATGTATCACTCTCTTTCGTTCTGGGGTGTTGTTGTTGTCCCCAATGAAAGAGGGGGTGGGGGAGAAGATGCAAAAGAAGATAAGACAAAAAACCAGAAAGATAGAGAAGGAAAAGGCAGGCTTGGGGCGGGGGGAAGGAAGGATGCCCCATATTTTTGTCTGGTCTTCTGTATGAAAAGATTCAAAGTGACAGCTCTAACACCACCCCCTTCTGCATCACGGAAAAGCAAAGAGAGTCTTAGAATCATAGAACTGTAGAGTTGGAAGAGACCACAAGGGATATTTTGCCCCAAGTGGGGCTCAAACTCAAGACCCTGAGATCAACAGCAGAGCTGCAACCCTACACGGCCACGTCAGAGCAAGTCCCCTGAAAGAGGATTTCCTCCCAAGCAGACATGTATAGAATTGCAATCTTACAAATTTGCATATGCTAGTCTTCGCCTAGTTGTGCTGACTTGGGCTGACGGGAGTTGTTGTCCAGCACATCTGGAGGCGGGCACCACGTTGGTGAGGGCTGGTGCATGCTTGCATGTCTTAGATGAATGATGCGCTGGCCTAGAGAGATGCGGCGCTCCGAGTGGTTGTGGGGTTGCAACCGTATATCACCTGGATGCTCAGCCAGCTAACAAAATCTCACCATGGTTTGGGGAGGCGGCCATCCCGTTATGTTCCCCATGCCTTCCCCACAACACAAGCATGCGCCTCGACCCTAGAGGACAACTTTGCCTCCTTCCCCATCCGCAACCTCAGGCACTTTCCTTTCCTTGATTTCTTTCGCCTGAAGCCACACACCTTCCTTCCATTGACTGACGCTGATCCCGGGCACCTTTTCAGAATCGCCAGGGAGGGCGGCCTATTCGTGTTTCCCTCTCCACTACCCACTCCCTCCGATTTTCGTCTGGTGTGCCCTATTTTTAGATAGGAAGACATCCAGCTCCATATTTTGCTACCACACACACACACAAACAAACACACCCCTTTCCCAGCTTTCTTTTCTTTCATTCTCCCCCCCCCCCCGCTCTTTTTTTAGAAGCTTGGTACACGGGAAAAGAAACCGGGGTCCGGGGCCCTCCTCCTGGCACGTAACGTCTGAACGCGTCCCGTCTCCCGCCAACCCGACCCACACTCAGCCTCTCACCCCCCCCCAGGCGCCCACCTCCGGCGATCCCCTTTGCAATGAATGGAGAAGGGGAGAGATGGAAGAAAGGCGGGCGGGCGGGAAGGCGGGGGGAATGCCGCGGACCCCAGGCGGGGTCTCTCTGGCTCGCGTTCCCGGGAAGCAACAAGCGGCCGCCGCCGCCGCCTCGCCCGCTCGCTCTCCCGCCTCAGCCGCCGGGAAGGGAGGCTCGGGCGCGCTCTTCCCCATCCCCGTTATCCGAGCCCGGGCGCTGCGCACATGGGCTGCACGCCCGCCCAACCGGGGAGCTCCACACACCCCGCGGGAAGGGCGCCTCTCCCCTCCTCACTCACCGAGGGTCTCCCCACCGCCACGGCCATGCTGCTGCTGAGGGGGGCGAGGGCGACGACGACGACGAGGCTCCGGCCGCTGCTGCTGCTGCTGCTCGCCTTCTTCCCCGGCGCCTGACGCGGCTGCTGCTGCTGCCGCTGCCCCTCCTCCCGAGCGCCCTCCCCGCTCGCATGAAAAGCAGCCTCTGGCTTCGCCTGCGCTCGCGATTATAAGCGGCAAACATGGCCACCCGCTTGGAAGCGACCATTCGCTGGCGAGAGGGGTGGGTGGAGTGGGGACGTGCGCCTCTGTGCAATGGGGACGGGGGCGCGGGCGGCGGGGGGCGCGAGGCGGCCTTCCCCCCACCCCCAGCTCCCCTCAACCCCGTTTTGGCCCGCCGCGCGCGCGCGCGCCCGGAGGCGCCTGCCCCAAAAGGTGCGCGCGAGAAACTGAGGGGGCCGGGAGGCGCCTCGGGGAGAAAGGCGCTTTCCCTCGACGGGGCTGGAGGAGCCATTGGCGCCAGGAAGCCCCTTCGGCGGGGGGCTCGTGCCCGAGTCCGTCCGGGCAGAGCGCGCGAGCGGGGACGGCTCTTTCCTCCGGGAGAGCCAGGCGGGGGGACGCGGCGGGTGTTGGGGGGCTGAATTTCCCCCCTCAGCCTTCATCCATGTGTGCGCCCCGGGCATGGGAACGGCTAAGGTGGGCAGCGGAAAGGACCTCGCGCTCTCCCCTCGACTGCTGCTGAGTTGGGCAAGGCGGGGCCGTGGCTCCGTGGCAGAAAGCCGCGGGTTCAATCCCAGGCAGGGTCGCTGCCAGCGTGGGAAGACTCCCAAAACCAATTTCTAAGGGTTTTGGCATCCGCTTAATGATTTCCTTCCGATGCTGTGTGTTTTTATTCCATCCTCTAGTACAGGGGTCAGCAAACATTTTCAGCAGGGGGCCGGTCCACTGCCCCTCAGACCTTGTGGGGTACCAGACTATATTGGGGGGGGGGATTGAACGAATTCCTATGCCCCACAAATAACCCAGAGATGCATTTTAAATAAAAGCACACATTCTACTCATGTAAAAACACACTGATCTGTCCGCAGGCCAGATTTAGAAGGCGTTTGGGCCGGATCCAGCCCCCCAGGCCTTAGTTTGCCTACCCATGCTCTAGTCCAGTTGTTTCCAATCTTTTTTTGGCCATGCACCACCTAAGCATCTCTAAAATCCTGCCGCCCCCCGCCCGGGACCACTGTCAGAGGAGGGGGGTGCGGTCTGCCCATGGTGTCATCCCTGAGGGGGGTTGACATCGCCCCCCTGCCCCCCTGGGATGCTCACCATGGGCGGCGGCGCCTTCGTGCTCACAGACCCACCCCCCTGGGATGCTTGCCCCACCCCCGGGTGCACAACATGTGCGCCACTGGTGTTGGAGCAGCTAGCTCCTCCTCTGCCTGTGCCATTTAATTCTTAAATTCTCCTATTCATGTGGAGGAAGCCTAAAAGGCCATTAACTGTTAATAACTCATTGTCAAATTACCCCCCCCCTTTAAAATCAAATTGCCCCGCTGTGAGACGTGTACCTCATGTTGGGAATTGCAGCATATAGTCTATTGCAAATGTTGCACAAGAAAGCACAACGTGAGAAGCGAAAGAAGCAGGAAGGTGTCATTCAAAAGTAGGGGGCCTTATGCGGACCCCCAGCATGAAGATCACAGACCACTGGCGCGTCATGGACCACAGTCTGGAAACTTCTGGTGTCGGAGGACTTCCTTGCGCCCTTGGCAAAGAGCGGCTGGGGGAATGCACAAGTGGGCAGGCTCCTAGCTAATCTGAGCCAGAGTGGAGAGGTGCAATTCTTGTGCCATTTGGGTTTATGCCCTTGGCTTCCAACTTCTAGGTACGTCCCTGCCTGCTGTAGATAATACTGAACATGGTGGACCAACTGTCTGTCTAGGTGTAAGGCAGATACATATATTGGGAGCTTCACAGCACGTTCCTATTTTTAAACAAAAACAAAACAAAATACCACCATTATTTCTCTTTCATAAAGAATTTCGTTCCAGATTGCACAAAGGGTCCCTCTAGGCCAGCATCCTAGGCAGGCTTTTTTTTAAAAAAAGAAAAAAAGTGTGCCCCGTATTTTTCACGGTTCTTTGCTATGAAAAGATTCAAAGCTCTAACACCACCCCTTCTGCATCATAGAGAGACTTGCAAAACAAACCTTCCCCCCCCCCTGCAGCAAATGACACTCAGAGATAGAGTTCCCCTGAACACTGAAGCTCAATTGGATTTGTCATGTTCACAACAGACCTCCAAAGCAGATTCCAGGAATCCAGAGAAGGCTGGCCTCAGCCAAGACACCCTGACTTTCCATGATGACTTGCCAGGTCACAGGTGGTGCCTAAGGCAGGCACACAGAGAAATGCCACAGTGGGCATGTGCATGAATCCAACAGATTTCATGCACACGCCTGCTTGGAATGCAAGGGCAATGCTCAAGAGCAGTAAAGGTAAAGGGACCTCTGACCATTAGGTCCATTTGTGGCCGACTCTGGGGTTGCGGCGCTCATCTCGCTTTATTGGCCGAGGGAGCCGGTGTACAGCTTCCGGGTCATGTGGCCAGCATGACTAAGCCGCTTCTGGCGAACCAGAGCAGCGCACGGAAACACTGTTTACCTTCCCGCAGGAGCAGTACCTATTTATCTACTTGCACTTTGATGTGTTTTCGAACTGCTAGGTTGGCAGGAGCTGAGACCGAGCAACGGGAGCTCACCCCGTCACGGGGATTCGTACCGCCAACCTCCTTTTATGCATGTGCCTACTTGGAATGCATGCGCAATGCTCAAGGGCACTACCACACTCATACACAACAACTATTCATTTCAACTTTTCAAGACAACTACCTGGTGGAATATGCCCACTACGTCCAGAATTTGCCAGACATATACGGAATACTGCATTCGTCAGCAGTGTCTGGGCAGAAATCAGTCAAATGTCCAGGAAAATCCGGATGTATGGCAACCCATGTCGTCAGCACTGATGTTGGCAGCAACAACTTTTCTGTCTGGGTTTTCACTGTTTGAAATATGGCAACCCTAAATAATGTGATGGTCCAGTGGTCTGACCTGCCTCATAGCAGAGCCCCCTCTATGAGTGCAGCTCTAGTACTGAGCACAGGCCTTTCTGACTGCCCACTTCCACTGGCACGCCCAAAAATATTGTTGGCTGATGACTTCTTAACTTTTTGATAATGGCCAACTGCAAAGAATTCTCAAAATGTCTTATTACCAGTGCATGTTGCTTTGATGCAAAGCACCAGGGATGCAAAAATAAAATTAGTGTGGCTGTACCACTTTTTGCCGCCACTCTGCAGTACACTTGGGACGCGGGTGGCGCTGTGCATTAAACCACAGAGCCTAGGACTTGCCGATCAGAAGGTCGGCGGTTCGAATCCCCACGATGGGGTGAGCTCCCGTTGCCCGGTCCCAGCTCCTGCCAACCTAGCAGTTCGAAAGCACGTCAAAGTGCAAGTAGATAAATAGGTACCGCTCTGGCGGGAAGGTAAACGGCGTTTCCGTGCGCTGCTCTGGTTCACCAGAAGCGGCTTAGTCATGCTGGCCACACGACCCAGAAAAGCTGTACGCCAGCTCCCTTGGGCAATAAAGCGAGATGAGCGCTGCAACCCCAGAGTCGGCCACGCACGCTTGGTGCATGTTGGGACTGAACTCATCAATTTCTTCTGATTACAATGTCTTATGCTGTTTGACATTGTATTGTAGTTTCATATATCGGTCTGCATTGGTTTTATACTTCATGTGAGTGGGTGGAATAGAAATACTTCTACAGGAACATGAAAGGAAACTGCTGACAGGCCTGCAATCCCGATACTGCGCTCAACATCTGACTCACCGAGTGTCATAGGGTGATCTGTGTGTGTGTGTGTGCCTCAGTTTCCACATCTGTGAAATGCTAACTATGGCAACATGTTGTAAACAAATGAAAACAAATTGTGTACAAAACAAGTTTTCATTGGTCATGGTCTGAAGTCCAAACTGGATGTTGTATGTAGTGTGTGTTAACTCCCCGACATTTGAAAAATCAAAAAGACCGCCAACCCTTACCCCTCTCTTGACTTCCTGCCATGCATGTTTCTTGCGAGGCAAGTTATGAAGCAGAACCACTGTCCTACCCAAACCCCATTTGCGATGCAATCTGCCTTCTGTCTCTTCATCTGTATGGAACTTATGATGACTGCCATTTAGAGGTTGACAACATAACATGTTGTTTAGTCGTTTAGTCGTGTCCGACTCTTTGTGACCCCATGGACCAGAGCACGCCAGGCACTCCTGTCTTCCACTGCTTCCCGCAGTTTGGTCAAACTCATGCTGGTAGCTTCAAGAACACTGTCCCACCATCTCGTCCTCTGTCGTCTCCTTCTCCTTGTGCCCTCCATCTTTCCCAACATCAGGGAGTCTTCTCTTCTCATGAGGTGGCCAAAGTATTGGAGCCTCAGCTTCAGGATCTGTCCTTCCAGTGAGCACTCAGGGCTGATTTCCATCAGAATGGATAGGTTTGATCTTTTTGCAGTCCATGGGACTCTCAAGAGTCTCACAGCCTTGCCATGGCAAAGGGACTTGAATAACTCAGAGAAGCTATGAGCTATGCCGTGCAGGGCCACCCAAGATGGACAGGTCATAGTGGAGAGTTTTGACCAAACGTGATCCACCTGGAGCAGGAACCGGCAAGCCACTCCAGTATCCCTGCCAAGAAAACTCCATGGACAAAGATGACATAACATAATTTTCTTATATATTTCATCTGCTGATAGTTGAAATATGATTTATTGATGGTTGGTATTATTTTTTGACCCCCCTTCCTGGACATTTGCGAGACAAACATCTAATCTGCCAGTCCTGATGAAGATCACCGAGACGTCAAGCGCACCAGCAGAATCTGCACAGAAGCAGGGCTGATAAAGCAATGTTCATCCTGCCAAGGATGCTAATTCAACTTGTCTTGATAGAACCCACCTCCTCTGTGAGGTTTACTTCCTATCTTCTTCTAGGTTTTTGCTGGGGAAGTTTCCAAGACAGGGGTAGCCATCTTAGTCTGTTGTAGCAAACACTACAAAGAGAGGTCCTTTGGCGCTTAAAATCAGACACTCAAATTTTTGTGGCATCTGAGTCACGGGAGACGTTGGTGCAGGGAAGCCCTCTGGTGGTCAAACCAAGGGGTGCTTTTCTGCAGTTTTGTGCATCTCCTCAATTCCTTCGCTGCTGAAGCATCTTCCCAGTGCCTGTGCGTTTGCCCACCATTAGACTATTCGTGATTATTTCCCCTTTCTTCCT